AGGTCCCGGCTGTGGATGATATTGGGCAGCAAAAGAGTTCATTTCAACATTGAGGATATTTTGTTGATATGTGACGTATTAAACCCATTTGGCATCAGATGAGTCAATAACAGCACTTTTACAAAAGTTAAGCAAAAAGTAGCAGCAATCCATTTCAAACTTTTACAACTATTTAGTGGTACTTGCCTTTTTAATGAGCAGTTTCATTTTACCATGACAAATCTACACTGGGGTAGAGGCTACTTTGCATATCACGGCTAATTAGGCGAGAACACATGTGGAGTGCTGATATATGTGAAGTTATGATGCTGCTGATGCTATGCTAGGCATGAGAACACATGGCTCTCAATAATCATAGTGATTAGAGGAACTACTGGAAAAAGCTAAACCACAAGCTACACATTGATTAATCCTTGATAGATTATATGGTTTAGTAATGAACAAAATTGTGTTCTGCAATGTATCTGTAGCGACTTAAAAACACAATTAAAACTGAATGTTGAACATTTCATATGATGCCGGCTACCTAGTTAACATTTATTTATTGTGCATATAGTTTATTGCTATGGAAGTGTGAAAGGCAAAAAAGAGCGGGGGGGACATTCAACAAATTTTAGAGCTGGGAACGCTGCAATTCTGAGGATGTTAAGTATCTTCATATTTGCTGCATATTTCATATACTTCATACTTCAATATCACTGCGTAACCCTTTTAATTAACGAAAAATCTGAACAATGGTGGCAAAATATTTTATCTTCTTTTATAATGATCACTAGATTAAACCAGCTCAATCCCATTCACCACACACCTCACAACATCACATGGCCCGCATCAACACAGTGCTGCCCCCTACCTCCTGCTGTGTGCCTGCCTCTGAATATACATGTAGTGCAGTGGATTTGGGCAAAAACAGTGACAGCCCCAGAAGTGCTATATGAATGAATATAGAACAACCACAGAGAGGAGTGTAAAGTCCTTATAGCCCGCCTGCCTCCTCCTGGGACTCCACAGAGCCTGCATGATATGATAATGGTTAAGAAGCAATGCTTGCGAGTCCATATACAGTAGTTTTGAAGGAAATGGTCACCTCAGATAAGAATACTCTGAAACACAGGGGAGAAGAATGAAAGATTGAAAGCCAAATATGAGTTAAATTCACAAGAGTAGAGTGGAGTGTTAAAGCTCAATTAATTGCAGACATGAGACAACCCTGCTGCTGATAATGACAGAGAGGGGAGAGGCAGAGATGAAGACAGGATGTGAGGGGGACAAGAGCGCATAGTGTTAAATCTATTCATGATTCATTATTTCTTACAGCGGCGCCCTGTTCTTGATGTCTCTGCCCTCTTACTCTGGAGCTCTTTCCTTTCTTGGAGTTGTCTTTATCTGTCGCTGCTGTGGCTTCCTGTTTAACCTCTTGCTTTCATTCGTGCAATTAATCTACAGAGATTTTCCATTAAACAGGTTCATTCATCTACTGTATAACTCCACATACACAAATTTTTTCCATTCGCTTATCTGTACTTTACTGTCTATTTACACTGACCTTGCCCATTTCACCTACTCCTACTGCTAATCCATGTGTGGAGATGTGTTCAATAATATGACAATAATGGCCATATATTTTACAGAAAGTTTTCTATGCATTTTTCTAACTGGTAAGTACTATAATATGTTTATTTTTAATAGTTACAGGCGTACAGTATTGTGCATTTTAACAGGCTTCAGACTGGGTGTTATTGGCAAAAAAAAAATAAAATCTCAAATATTGAAAAGAAAAAGTACCCACAATAAATATTTTGCCCAAAAATATATTGTTCCACATTTCATGTATTAAATGATAAATTAATATAGTAATTATCATGACCTCGCATTCACAGACAGAAGTTATTTCTCTCCATTTTCAGTGTACAATAATCATTACATTGTGTGCAGAAACACATGAATGACAATACCAAAGTCTGAGACAGTTTGATTAAATTAAAACAATATTTAGAATAAACAGCCATTCAGCTACCAAGTTTTGGACTATCTCCTTTCTTTTAAATCCATTCATGTGTACTCTTTCTTCCTCTTTCTTCTGCTCGTGTTCCTGACACCGTGTTCCTGTTCTGTACAGCTCAACTTCTGTCATCCTCAGCTCTCTGCACCTTTTCAACTCTTCTCCATCTCCTCTGCTCTTTGTCCCTCTGTCATCTCCCCAGACCCTCTTCTCTCCGGTTCTCTCACTCTGCCTGTGCTTTATGTTGTTGGCAGGTCGCTCCTCTCTCTCTTTCTCTCTCTTCCTCCCTCTCTTTCTCCTGTTCTGATTATTGCTCTGTCAATACCTCTGCTGTGGGTTTCACAAAAAATCGATCTGCCTCATTCGTCACTCAGCGTTATTGGGCAGCAAAAGTCTCACAAGAAACTAGACATTACAATGTGAGCTTTGGAAGGTGAAGACATTGTTAATGTTGAAAAGAAAAAAGTAGTACAAGCACAACTGTAGGGGCTCTTTGAAATGTTGGACAGTTAAGGCTACATTTGCAAGTCGCAAAAGTCTAAAAAGGATAAATACTCTGACGTACAATATTCTATTATATACTACCAAATCTACAATTATGTTCAAATCGCCAAATAAACTTCTTTGGTGAAATGGCACATTATAATCTGTGTATTCTATAGGTCTGTCACAATAACAAATTTTGAAGCATGACATATTGGTACAGTGATAAACGATAATATTGAAACTTCATTTTGTCACTGACACAATAAAAAATAAAGCGGATAATTCCAGTGAACCATTTTTAATAGACAGTATCATTAAAAGGCATGAGCTGCAAAGAATAAATAGCTGAATGAAAAAGTAATTAGCCATAAAAATGACTTGTTCAAATCTCTACGGCTCAAATCCTATCACACTGAAACAAAAATCTCACCACTGTTGAAAAAAAATGTACAAATGATAAATACTGAGCCAGAAAAAAAAATCCAGCTAGAATTTATTGAACGATAAGTTCAGTAATAATTACCATAATAGGCATATATTCAATTAAAAAGATTAAAAACCAGATCTTTTGCACCATTTAAGTCAATATACCTGCACATAGAGTTTTGTTGGTGCGTAACCCTACAGTGGGCTTGTAGTGGGCCATTATGTTTTAATGTACTGGAATAACCTTTCTCTGCACAGTGGTGTGTCAGTGGCTGCTGCTCATACAGTTTGTGCTCTGGAAGTATTTGGACAAAACCCTGCTGTTCTGAGCTGCGCGCTATAATTACCTCGCTGATGGGATGACACCATGATTAAAGGGTTAAAGTGCAGAGAGCAGGGGCTGTCATTTTGGGGGTGTTTTTATGAAAAATCAAACAATGGTGCTCTCTAAATGACATTGAGGGACGTGCTGCGTGCAATGTAAAATGTATTAAAAAACAAAGCCCCCTCTTGTTTGTCGTGACAGTGCACGAGGCGACTGCGGAGAACAATTTAGAAGGAGAGATGGAAAGAGAGAGTCACCTTTAAAGAAAGTCCATGAGAAATATCTACACTGACGCACGGTGGTCTGCAAGAAAATGAAAAAATTCTAAATAAAAAAGGACACTCAAAAGCACATATTTCTGCCAAACCATTGGTAACAACATCACACCCAAAACTTAACTCAGTGTTAAATACACATTCTACTCCTTTAATAACATTTTCGATAATGAAAAGAAATCAGTCAGTATTTGTACATACTATATTAAAAGTGCACTGTGTCACTTTTCTGGGGATTTCTTGAGGATGGGGATTAGTCATATGTTTGTCACGAAATTTTATTGTGTTGCCTGGAATGCTCCACAGTATGGTTTAAATATATCAAGAAACAATTTATTTAATTACAAAAATACCTTGAAAGACATGCATTCTGACTGTGAGAGATGTGACCTGTAACTTGGCATGATGGCGCCAGCTACCTGCCTTCAGTTTTATGTCATACTGTAGTGTGGAATATTCAAGACAAAGCAATAACATCTCTATGGAGACACAAGAGTCCCCTCCTCCCCACCAGAAAAGTTAGTCAGTGCACCTTAATGACTTTCTTCTGTATCCATTCAATGCCATATGAACCCAACCAGCAACAGAACCAGGGTGGACCAGTGCGAGGCGGCCACAGAGTGCACCAAATCCATGGCTCATTTGACTTTGTCTTATCTTCAGCTGAACTGGAAAAACACCAGGATTCTCTGTTTCAAGTGAGCCTCTGCTAATGACATCCAGCTGCCATTTGATCTGTCCATTTGAAAAAACCAAAGACGTGACTGTGGAGAAGTGGCCAAGATCCTGTGTCTTGTCAGACATGTTTACAGTGATCGTTTACACTGAACAGTGATTCTCAAACGCTAACTACCTCCGAGTCTGAGCATACCACCAGTACGGCCATTTAATGAACACAAATCACTCTACCTCTGAACTTAGATAGGTTTACACACTATACTTTTATGAACTTGGAAATACTCATCAAGGTCTGGTCAATATGAAAAACTGTTCTAAAGCAGGACTAAAATTGGCACGATTTTGTAGTAACCAACTTCCAATGTATTTTTGCATCCTAGCATAGCTTATTTATATCACAAAGTTTTCCATTTAATGCTAGTGTTTGTTGTGGTTATGTTAAAAGCACTTGTAGCTTAGGCTATTATTAGTCTGACCAATAAAACTAAGTATTTTAACTAAGTACATGTGGGTTACCTCTGTGATTCACATTGTATACAGACACACGGGATTTTCCCCAAAAACAAAAGACACCACCTGTGCAGAACAGCTCATTTGAGTATGTAAACCAATGCTACTCCACTAAAAGGGACACAGTGATGTGGACTGTAATTCCAGGCACCACATTGCATATACAGGGAACATGAAAGAGCACACCACCCACACATTAAAACTAGCAGCAAAAATAAGACATAACCATTTACAGCCCACTGCAAACATCCATCCTCAACATTTAAAGTTACACCTTATACAAATACAGTAGTTTTACCTGCTTGTGCATCTCGATGTTGAGGCCGTAGGACATTTCATAGTACTGTGAAGACAAAGAGAGAAGTTTGTTAGTATTTCCCTTGAACATCTGTTGCTCAGCTTCACATACGTATGGCCCTGTTTGTTGCTGAAGCTTTAATGAAGAGAAGAAAATAACAGGAGAGCAGTATCAATAATGAGGCAGTTATGTCCCAGAGCGGGCAATGTGTGATCACAGAGTGTGTCTTTCTGAACACAGGTTAGAAAATCAACCACTGTGCTTTCTGTGTTTGTGTGATCTGCTGCAAGCTTTTGTCTATCAAAACAATTATATGCTCCACCAATGGCCTGTAAAAACAATGACTTTATCAACTTGTTGTTCAATAAATAAAAGATCAGGAACAGATATTTTGGGCTCAATATTTATCATGGATCTTTTCTTTACACTAGTAGGGAACATTTAGGTTGTTTTTTTTTTACTCTTTTCAAAAATAAAAACATGTAAATGACAATCTGCTGCCTTCATCAGTGAAATGCCACTATGATGTGGCTGGGCATATTAGTTCTGCAGTTATGAACACGAAGTCATTGGTCCCATTTCTATTATTGAGCTGTTTTAGATCAATGTTGCAGTTTACAATGAACCAAATGTAAAATGATGATTTACTTCAATGCAAGAAAAAAGGATAACATTAATTAATTAATCATTGGACTTATACAGCGCCTTTCAAGACACCCAAAGCGATTTACAGTGCACTATTCAGTCACTCCACACTCGGAGGAGCAGCAGCCCTGGGGCAGACTGATAAAAGCAAGGCTGCCAATCTGCACCATTGCCCCTCTGACCACATCACTATTATTATTACTACTATACTATATATGTCTCAAGGGAATCTCAAAGAAAGATCCCAAATATAGAAGAAATAGTCTTGTCAAATATATTAGGCTAATGTAGATCATGGTTTGTTGTGTGCTTTATGTTAAACCCTAGTCTCCTGTGGCGTGAGTGTATACAGCAGTAATACTCTGTGGGGCTGGTGGCAGAGGCAGAGTCAGATGAGCAGCTCTGTGACTGATGAGACAGGCCCACGCTGACTCCATCACTCTCCTCTCTCCTCCATTTATCCCGCGCTCTCTCGCTCCTGTCTCTTCCTTTGCATTTTATTTTTCCGCTCTTTCCTTTTTCACTTATGTTCTCGTTTCATTTCTGTCAGCCCTTCTTCATTACGCACCAATCTTCCATTTCATTCACCATATCTGTCGGTCTCCATCTATCGATCCAATTAAAAACTCAAATTAGACTGTACTGAAAAGCCACAGAGCTGGGAATAGAATAAAGAGAGCATAATAAAGGACTGAAAATGTTATGTTAGATAGAACAAAAAAAAGTGAAATAGCTGATTTTGCCAAGAGGTTCATTTGTTGATTCCCCTCAGGCAGTGCAGGCAGCCCGGCGCCTCAAGTGCTACAGTAATGTTTTTGTATGTTCAATTTTTCTAATTTGCAGAAGTAATTATTCCTCAAAAAGTTTACCAAACTTTAATCAGGCCTCTTCCCTCCTTTGTCACTGTTTGTTTGGATTCTAATAAAGGTGCACTGTGAAACTTTTCTGGTTTAGCTGTTCAGCTCCTGGTTGTTACCATGGAAATGTCATTGCTTTGGAAGAAATGTTTCACACGTTAGCATTAAACATCTATCTTGCGGTTAATTAACTAGATTGAAGTTAATTGAGAAATATACTTTTCTACATTGAGTGGGCTCATCTCGCCACAGATCTGACTTGTGTGTTTGTCTCCATGGAGTTAAATAGTATACTGTGGAACAGTCCAGGCAATGGGTCACGGCTGCAAGCAGGTGGTGGACCCTCCACCAGAAAACATAGTGAACCTTTATTCATTTTGATGTAAATTTTCTCATGATCTTGTCCCTGTCCTTTTCACTCAATCTAAAATGTATTCGTTTTTTTTTTTTTTTTTCCTCTGAGCCATTTCTATCAATCATCTTCCGTCCCATTTCACGCTCCCTCTTTCTCTGCCTTTTCATTTTCTGCTTTGCTCTATATATTTGCTCTCCCGTTCTCGAGTGGTGGCGTCTACATTTGTTTCTTGTTAAGTACTGCGCATTTAGCCACATACCACATACATGTATACTTGTAACAGGTGTGTTTTTTTTATTTTTATTTATGTATTTCTTAAAGCATTCCAGTTTCTTTTTTTAGTTTGGCAGAAATAGATGAAATCTGGGTAATAGTTTCATCTCTCATTTCTATAAAGGTTTTTCTTTCACCCGTTTATTTGCTATGCCTTTCTTTGTTCTTAGCCACCTCAAAGCCTGTTTTTATACCTTATACATACAGTATATACCTTATGCGTACATCTTGCACCTGGCAACACACATTGGAAACATCCATATAAAAACATGTTTGAGTTCATTTCTGCTTGAGTGATTGCCTCTTTGTTCCTTCAGCATAGCCTACTACGTCATGCATGATTCTTTTATTACATTCATTTTTTCCCTTAAAATTAAAGGCACTGTATCTAATTTTAAAAACATGAAAAACAGAACTAGTTAATTTCACACAGTTTACAGCTGTCCAAACTTATTCTTTACTCTCATGTGAAATTTGTGAAAGCGTGTTCCACAAATCTCAGAGTCGAGAACAGAGTTTGCGTGACATGCCACTTCTTACAACAACTAGCATGCAAACAGTGCAGTTTTATTAATTGACCTTATAAATAAAATTTTAAAAGTCTATTATAAGATGCAGACAACATACAGCAGCCCTTAGAGCTGCTTTTATACATTTGTACTGGGCAAAACTAATGCTCCTATATCTCATGAAAAAAGAGTTTAAGTTTACACCTTACATAAAGCCTTGGCTCATACTCATACAACTATTCATCTCAAGCTAAAAATGACATGACATTATGAGAAGGCGTGCAATAAGTAATGATAGAAACAGGCAAAGTGTGCAAAGCCTCGATGTGGCCAAGAAATGAATGGAAATCATCTTCAGTCCACTTACATCAAAACTGTTTAATTAAAACTGCTATTCAGCTCAATGCGTCCGTCCTCATTAACACAGACGATTGGCTTTGTCGCATGTTTCTGCCTCCCATAAGACCACACAAAACGGAGAAAGATTCTTTAGAAATAACGCATTAATACTAGATCAATGTTTGCCTTTCATATCTCTCCTCTTTTTGGTGCTGTTTTTGGGGTTTCTGGAACACACTTGGGGTCAGCAATGTCAGATGTTTAGATTGTATTAAAATCATAGAGCTTTCAGATGGTTTGTTCTGTGATCTACTGGTGGAATAAGTACACATTTTTCTTACTTAAATAAAAGTACAGATAGAGGAGCAGAAATATTACTTTAATTACTAATTAAAAGTAAAAGTATCACATAAAACATCAACTTAAAGTATACAAGAATTGAAGAACTTGTTTGAAAATGTTTATTTAGAGTAAAAGGAAAAGTATCACACACATATTTAACATCAAATGTAGTAGTCTCAAAATGAACTCAAAACCTTAAGACAAGATGTCACCAAATAATAGAAAACAACCCCTCAGCCTTTTCAGCAATTTTAAACCATAAGTAAATTATACTTCTACTACTTATTATTATTATTATTATTATTATTATTATTATTATTATTATTATATTGCAGTCCATTTTCAAAGTAGTGGAGAAAATACAAATACTATTCAGCTGTAGTGAAATAAACATAAAATTCTTCTTGCAGATAACTACAGATTTGACTTATGTAGAGTAGTTTTACTTAAGTATTTCATTACTTTCCACCATTGTGATCTACTCTAACCCTGCCACCTTTTACATACAGACATGTTAACGTTTTGAGAACTAGATTTGGGTTTCAACTCAAAGCAAATATTTTTCTTAACCTCCTTATGTCATCCAAAACCAATGCCTATATACGTGATGTCTCTTTTAAAGTTGGGATCTACGCATTAAGCAAAGATGCAACTGAGCAAGGTTATTTAGTTGTTTTTATGGACTCATTTTCATCATTGTTGTTCCGCAGGAGATGCAACTGATAGCAGTAAATATTATAGTCCACTTCTCTATGGCTCCCTGTGGTGTCGTCTGCTCTTAGCTTATTCCACTATTGACGCTGGGTCACAGTAGTTAAGATGCAGAGCAGTGTCACCCTGCAGGAGTGCTTAAACTTAGCACTGCTCATTTGCTTTGACTCATATCCCCAGGGTACAAATAAGAGTGGTAAAAAGTATTGAAAATCTGATACTAATCACTACTGAAACTAGTATAGAAAATAGGTATTAATTAAACAAGTATTGATACTAAACAAAAATCAGAATAAACAGGAAAAAAAAAGTTTTCAGATGACCTTGATCTTATCCAAATTAGACACCGAGTATGAAAATTAAGTTTGAATTTTTTGTATTGTGTCAGCACAATCCTAAAGATCATCATACCTTGACCTCTTACAATGTAACTATTTTAATATTTTTTCCTTGAAAGTCCAACAAAACATGCATGGTTTCTAAGACTACAGTAAATGTTGTCTGAGCAGTACACAACTCCCTTAACTCACTATAATCTTTGGAAGTCCCCAGTGAAATGCTTTGTAAAGAAGTCAATAAACAGTGGGACTTACTATGTGTTAAGAACAAAGATTTTCAACCTAAAAAGAACCATTCAAAACCACTGACCTCATATTGTACATTCTGTATTTAGAAATAGTTTTTTATGTGCTAGCTCTATATTGATTTCCTTATGTAACTTATGCCCTGACCAACAAACTCCAAACCAAGAAGTACTGTCCAGTGTCCACCCACAGAGCCAACTCTCTTTGGTTCACTATATCTGAATCAACATGTGAATTCTAACTCTGAAAAATGTTACACAGTAAAAGTAACCAACCGACCGAAATCGTATCTGACGTGCTGGGCCATATAAAATGTGCTAATTTGTTTGATACATCATGAGGTGAACCCCACTATTGTACCTCTAGCGAAGCCAATATGAAGAATAACAACAATCATTTTTCTTATTACCATCTCCATTACCTGTGCTTT